TGTAGAGGATTTTGCCATTTAGTCATTACTAATTGAAAACATTCGTAGTCGTACATTAAGTATAGGAAAGTTTAAGTTCACAATAAATTGTTCGACCCTTAATAATTACTTTTAGTTGGGAAACGATTAAAACTATAATTTATTAATAAAATTGCTCAATTACGTATTGAAAAGCTTATCAAAATTTGGTTTACATCAATTACATCAATTGCTATTGGTATCACTTTATCACACCGAATAACAAAACATAATCAATTGAAACTGCCAGTTTCTAACTGAGGGAGACACCTTTGCCGAAATGTGTTTTAGATTTTTAAATGTTTTATATGGAATTTAGGGTTTTGGTGTTCTATATAGAGCCTAGTGTGCGTTAAGGCACCCCTAAGCGCTCACCTGTAGTTACTGCATAATACTCACCCACTCAAAGGAATTGAATTGAATAATAAACGAAAAGCCTGTTGGAGATTGTTTTATATTGTTTATAATAAGATAATCAAAGCGGCGGTGTTGACCTAAACTTCAGAGAATGGTTTGTAAAACAGGCATTTTGTTATCTGCTTCTGAGTCAGTTTCTTTCTTTATAGAGATGCAACATTTTTTAGGTTTCTGTCACTGTATTCTGTACTTTACAGACTGTTCATAACACGCGATATTCACGATCCAATAGGGCAAAAAACCAAAACCAACACCGAATGAAAAGGACAAAGACTAAAGTCACTACTACTTCCGGTAGATTTATGAGTCAAACTATGTGAAGCAACTTTAGAATATTTCATTCTTGGAACAAAACATATTTAGTATTTGAAATTTTTGGTTTCTTTTACTAGATTTTAATACTAAATATATTAAAAAAAAGAAACTTTACCAGTGTTTGAGAAAAAGGATCTACAAGAATGACCTTGGAGTAAATGTTCTTTGTTCATATTTTTGGATAATATGGTTGAAATAAAGAGAGAACATGGAAGGGTTAAGTTATGCATTGGAAGGGTATTCGTAACTCTCACTGCAATTTTTTTTTGTGCGGCATGCATTGTTGTGTGTGAGCAGGTATAGGAACGTGTATATATGTAAATATGTACTTACTTCTACCAAAATGTGCGTTACTGGTGTAGGAGTGTTATTTAGTTTGTACTAATTTAAATGTGTAGAGAAGTGTCTGTCACCTTTATTGTTATCCCTTCATCCTCATCCTCTTCGTTCATCGTGGACAATCGTTTCTCCAGTTTGCCTTTCTCTTCTTTTTTCTCTTCCTTCTTAATTATTAGCTTCTTCTTCTTAAAACGGCTGCGAATATTAAAATTAAAAATGCTGCTTTTCTAACAGTAGTCAGACGAATGAAAATTAATAACTGAAATTATATATCATTGTCCGCGAAATTGTCATTAAGCACCTGTGAACTGTTTGCTTCGTGATGTATTATCAGTTTCAGTACATAACAAAATTTATCAATTTGTATTACTTATTTGTAATTAGAAGAATTGGCTGATTTTAGGTATCTAGGAAGTCAGATAAGTCAGGACGGAAGGAGTAGTAGGGATATAAAGCAGAGGATAGGGCAGGATCGAGCCGTCTTAAATAAAAAGAAGTCCCTTCTATTCGCGAACGGTTAATTTAGAAATTCGAAAAAGATTGTCAAAAGTGTATGTTTGGAGCGTGGCGCTATACGGGTGCGAAACATGAACGGCGCTGTGGAAAAGAAAAGGTTAGAAGCGTTCGAAATGTGGTGTTACCGTCGAATGATGAGGATACCGTGGATAGAGGAGGTTAGAAATGAAGAGGTATTAGAAAGGATAGGAGAACAGAGGACTTTATGGAAGTCAACACGAAATAGGTGAGATAGATTAATAAGACATCTTCTCAGGCATAAAGGTGTAGTCAGAGACATATTAGAGTTAAAAACGGGTGTTAGGAGGAGTAGAGTCAGGCCTAGATTAGATTACTGATCACAAATAGTTAAGGATGTGGGTTGTTCTAGTTTTGGGGAAATGCGAAAATTAGCGCAGGATAGGAAAGAGTGGAGGTGCGTGTCCAACCAGTCTTAGGACTGACGACCGTGTGATAATGATTTGTAATTTGGTGGCGTAGAGCAGTGATTTTCAATGTGGGGGTTGCGAAATTGTTGCATAAAATATAAGATTTTGATACATCGTTTTCGAAGATGACCTCGAACCTGGCTCCTAGATCGTCCTAAAATAGTGAAATTTCAAGATGTTCTGATCTCAAATCGAAAAAAGCTAAATTGGAAACATTTGGGTTTTGGAGTTAAAATATTTCCAAATCTTGATATGCTAGGGTCACAAGGCCAAATTCTAATTGAACGACAAGAGATACTTCGAAAGTGCTTACTCTCTTGGTTATTATTGGTTTTATTTAACAAAGCAAAAAGGTTGAAATTACAGACTGGAATTTCTAAAGGTTTTGACGTACTGAAGCAATTTTGAGGCCAGATTTGGACTCATCGTCACGAATTACTTCGTAAATGATTGACATTTTCGTGTTTTTGTTGACTTGATTTCTTTGACCTCTCTACTTGATGGTGATGTTTTTCTCTACATACTCTTAATTGAGGAGGGGGGGAGTAATTTTAAAAATTAAAGTGCAAAAGGGGTCGAAGGCCAAAAATTTTGAGAAACACTGGTGTAGAGGATTTTGCCATTTAGTCATTACTAATTGAAAACATTCGTAGTCGTACATTAAGTATAGGAAAGTTTAAGTTCACAATAAATTGTTCGACCCTTAATAATTACTTTTAGTTGGGAAACGATTAAAACTATAATTTATTAATAAAATTGCTCAATTACGTATTGAAAAGCTTATCAAAATTTGGTTTACATCAATTACATCAATTGCTATTGGTATCACTTTATCACAACGAATAACAAAACATAATCAATTGAAACTGCCAGTTTCTAACTGAGGGAGACACCTTTGCCGAAATGTGTTTTAGATTTTTAAATGTTTTATATGGAATTTAGGGTTTTGGTGTTCTATATAGAGCCTAGTGTGCGTTAAGGCACCCCTAAGCGCTCACCTGTAGTTACTGCATAATACTCACCCACTCAAAGGAATTGAATTGAATAATAAACGAAAAGCCTGTTGGAGATTGTTTTATATTGTTTATAATAAGATAATCAAAGCGGCGGTGTTGACCTAAACTTCAGAGAATGGTTTGTAAAACAGGCATTTTGTTATCTGCTTCTGAGTCAGTTTCTTTCTTTATAGAGATGCAACATTTTTTAGGTTTCTGTCACTGTATTCTGTACTTTACAGACTGTTCATAACACGCGATATTCACGATCCAATAGGGCAAAAAACCAAAACCAACACCGAATGAAAAGGACAAAGACTAAAGTCACTACTACTTCCGGTAGATTTATGAGTCAAACTATGTGAAGCAACTTTAGAATATTTCATTCTTGGAACAAAACATATTTAGTATTTGAAATTTTTGGTTTCTTTTACTAGATTTTAATACTAAATATATTAAAAAAAAGAAACTTTACCAGTGTTTGAGAAAAAGGATCTACAAGAATGACCTTGGAGTAAATGTTCTTTGTTCATATTTTTGGATAATATGGTTGAAATAAAGAGAGAACATGGAAGGGTTAAGTTATGCATTGGAAGGGTATTCGTAACTCTCACAACTATCGACACTATTTTCTTTAAGCTTTAAGCATGACAAGCTCGTATGTATGACGGAAAATTTCGACATTTAAGACTATTATTGTGTCCAGGGTCGGACTGACCCGGGGTGCAGGGGTGCAAATGCACCCCGGGCCAAATGCCTCCCGGGCTAAACCGGACCAAATGACTCAAAAAATGTGAAAAGAGAAATAAGAAAAAACTTAATAAATTTGATATTAATTGTAACTAGGCTTAGCTCTTGGTCAAACAATTTTTAAAATAATTCATGAAATAACAACACTTGGTTTTGTTTCACTATTTTTATTTAATATTTAATGCTCTAACATATGTTTCGGCTGTTATGCCATTAT